GTTTCAGGATTGTTGTTTTCTCTGTTCAGCTTAGTTTTTTGGATCTTTGCTGTGGAGGGACGTCATGGTGCTTCTGCCTAGAGCGCCATTTTGCCAGAAGTCCTCTTGCCTCCTTTATTATCTTCTGGGTTCCTTACTTTGGGTCACCAGCTCAGTTCATCTGAGTGGCCCTCACAGAGCCTGGATCTGTGAATGTTCAACAACATGTGCCTGAATTGAATTGCATAGATTACAGCCATATCTCCTAACTGGTTTCGGCTCCAAGCCCCTGTGCCCACTGCTGTTGGACTAATCTTGTTACATCATATAACTACTCCCCTTGAGAACCCAGGAGAGCTTCTAATTGCTTCTCTGATTAGACGCAAACTTGTGGGCCAGTCATTAGATGCCCTCTATCAAATGGGCCCTCTTAGCCCATTTGGCCTTTTGTCTGGAACAAGCACCCTTTATCCCACTTATACTAGTCTCTAAATATCCCATCCACACAGACTTTATGTTCATCCCTTTGCAGTTCAAGTATGCCTCTTTCTTCCAGATCCCACCAGATCCCAGACCTTGCTCCAGGCATTCTTTCCCCATCAGCCACAAGAAGGAAAGGGGTCTTCACCTTCCCTGAATTCCTCTAGAATCCTTTCTTGGGATGCTTGCAGTCTCATGGAACTAATAACCCAACTCTCTCCGTCTGACTTGACAAGATGGGGTTTATTGGCTCATAACTGAGACGTCCAGGAGGAGGGTGGCCCTCAGAAGCTTCGTCAGGGCTCCTGCTCACTTTTTTGGGGAGCCTCTCAGCTCTGCCCTCTTTCTCCAGTCAGCTTTGGCCTTAAATTGGATTTCAAGATGACTGCCAGTTGCAGCCAGGGCTATGTGCTTCCTCTTTCCTGTCTAATAGGAAGAGAGTGTGCTTCTTCCTCTAATCATTGAATTGCTATGTGGAGACAGGCTTAAGCCTGTGTCTAGCCTACCCTCCCTGAGCCAATTGTTGTGGTCCAATCAGGTTTCTACTTGGAGTTTAGAATAGAGCTAATCCCACCCAAACTGCAAAGTCGCCCACAATGGAGGAAAGTGAGTGCACTCAGAGGGGATAACCGTCGCTTACCTATTCAATACCCTGCTGTTAGAGTTGACGCTGGCTTGAAACTTTCTCCAGTTGGTTCCTGTGTTTTCAACCAGTTGGTAAACATTTAGCAGAGAGCAGATCTAAGATCTACCTCTGTTTTGTCTCAAACAACCCAGTTATCATAATTCTGAGTTAATAGCAAGGTCTCAATATACTGCTAGGAATCCCTGGGTGGTATAAACAGTTAAGCGCTCGCTAGACTACTAGCCCAAAGGCTGGCGGTTCAAACCCACCCAGAAGTGCCTCAGAAGGCAGGCCTAGCGATCTGCTTCCAAAAAGTCACAGCCTTGAAAACCCTATGGAATAGTTCTACTCTGCACACATAGGGTTGCCATGAGTAGGAATTGACTTGACAATGTCAATTAACAACAACATCAGCTTCCTGGCCTGTCCTCACTCATTCTTGCTTTCAGCAACACTAGAGCACTGGTGGTACAGTGGTTAAGAGCTACAGCAAGCTACCACTGCTAACCAAAAAGTCGGCAGTTCGAATCCACTGGCTGCTCCTTGGAAATCCTATGGAGCAGTTCTACTCTGGCCTATAGGGTCGCCATGACTCAGAATTGACTCGATGGCAACGAGTTTTTTTTAAAATGTGTACCAGAAACCCTAGTTGCACTGTGGTTAAGAGCTCCACTGCTAACCCAGAGGTCAGCAGTTCAAATCCACCAGCTGCTCTTTGGAAACCCTGTGGGGCAGTTCTACTTTGTCCTATAGGGTCACGATGAGTCAGAATCGACTCACCAGCAATGGGTTGATTATGTGTACCAGGAAAACCAAATACACTGTAATATAATTCTCCCCCAAATCGGGACACACCTAACCTAGAACTTATATCTAGTGATCTGCATTACTCAGTCAGATGCTCTCTTATCAGTTCCCAACACTATTCACCCATCTGCAGCAGCTGAAATGAACATTCGTCTTCAAATACCCACCTTCCCTGGATCCTGGTTCCACTTCCGGCACCTAAACGTCATCACTCCCGAAGAGTGATGTTTAGGTGTGTCCCAGTTTGGGGGAGAACTGAGGAAGAAAAGATGAACCATGCCTGGAGAAAGTTTCACAGAAGTGATATTTTCATGCTGAATTTGGATTTCACCAGGAGATAAAGCAGGGTGGGGTGCAGTGGGGAAGGACTCTAGGCCAGTGGAGCAGCATTGGAACGTCAAGGGGCTGAAGAACGTGTCAGGGCATCTCCGGTGCTTGCGGCAGGCAGTCACGTGCTGGGGAGATGCGTGCTGTGCAGGGAGAAGCAGAATTGCTCCGTGGCTACTGTCGTTAGCTGCTGCTGAGTCAGCTCCGACTCTGGCAACCTCGTGTACAACAGCCCTGTCCTGGGTCTTCCTCACAGTCGCCAGCACATCTGAGTCCATCATTGCAGCTACCGTGCCAGTCCATCTCCCTAAGGGTCTCCTGTGACCTCATGGGTGCGTCATAAAAGCTGGTATTTTCCTCTACTAATTGCTCCCTTCTGATGACGTGTCCAAAGCAATCGAGCCAGACAAACCTCTGTAGTGATCCATAAGGTTTCCACCGGCTAATTTTCAGAAGTAGATTGCCAGGCCTTTCTTCCTAGCCTGACTTAGTCTGGAAGCTCCGTTGAAACCTGTCTACCATGGGCCCTGATGCTATTTGAAATACTGGTGGCATAGCTTCCAGCAGCCTAGCAACACGCAGTCACAATAGTACAAGCATTTGACAGGCCGCTGAACAAGTCCTATTTAGAAGGTTTACCCACAAAGCCCTTCCACAGAGAAGCTAGGGCAAGCCGACAGTGGTACTCAGTGTTGGACGTATAAGCCTTGTTCTTCCAGAAGATCTAAAGACACTCACAGATGACAGCTCCATAACTGGTTTATCTTGCCTTATTCTGTAGGATGTGGAAGGCTGTTTAGCAAGAACCAAAGTCAAAGACTTTCCCTTTTGGCTGCATTGGGAACTTCTGACTTCAATGCTAATGTCCCAACTTCTTGTCTGTAGATTTCACCTCCCCTTTGAAGGAACTGCCTGCAGGCCATGTACAATCTGCTTCCCCCCTGTGGGTCTCACCTTCTCGGACAGTAACAATTGTTAGGTGCCATTGAGTCAATTCTGACTCATAGCGACCCTATGTACAACAGAACGAAACACTGCCCAGTCCTGTGCCATCCTCACAATTGTTATGCTTGAGCCCATTGTTGCAGACACTTGGTAACCACTAATAAATTTTGGTCTCTATACATTTGCCTATTCTAGATGTTTCATATGAGTGAGATCATACAGTATTTGTCCTTTTGTGATTGACTTACTTCACTCAGCATGTTTTCAAGGCTCGTCCATATTGTAGTGTGTATCAGGACTACATTTCTCTGTGACTGGGTAACATTCCATCGTATGCATATAGCACATTTGGTTTATCCAGTCATCTGTTCATGGACATTTAGGTTGTTTCCACCTTTTGGCAATTGTGACAAGTGCTGCAAGGTGCTTCGGTGCACACAGTTTTTGTTTATTTTGTTCACTGTTGTTTCCCAGCACCAGAACAGTGCTTAGCACGTAGTAAGTGCTCAACAATGTCTGTGGAATATAAAAATACCAGTGGAACATTAATGGAGAAGGTCCCAGGTAATCATTAATGCAGAACTGGCATACCTTAGTGACGTCAATTGCAGAAACGCAGATGGGCTTATTTGAAGGCATAAGAGGAGATAAGTTGCCACGGGAGAAAGTGCAGAGAAAACGTAGAGCAGGCTGAAAAAAGAACTTCGGGAGTGATGACGTTTAGGTGCCAGAAGTGGAACCAGGATCTAGGGAATGTGGGTGTTTGAAGACAAATGTTCGTTTCAGCTGCTGCAGATGGGTGAATAGTGTTGGGAACTGATAAGAGAGCATCTGACTGAGCAACACAGATCACTGGTGACCCACACAGGAAGGGGAGGGAGGCAGCTACGGGCTCCAGGAAGAGAGACGGCAGTAGCTTGAGGGCGAGGCTGGGTCAAGGGGCGGTTTTGGTTTGGTTTGGTTTTGGAGGGAGCATGACTGAGTCTTAGTCATGAAGTACGGTGTAGTGGAGAGAGAGAGACTGAAGTTGTAGGAGGGAGGGAGAGAAATGATGGTTGGAATCAAGGAGGCCGATGAAGGGTTGTTATCCGGGGGAACGGGACACGTTCTCACTCAGGAGAGGCAGCAAGTGAGTGGATTCACCATCTTTTCTCTTGGTTAATACTTGTTGTGGTTAGCTGCCTTCCAGTCGGCAGGACTCATGGCGACCCCACGCACGACGTAAGGAAACGCTGCCGGGTCCTGCGTTATCCCTACGAGCTACTGGGGATCGGAAAGCCATGATCCATAGGTTTTCACTGGCTGATTTTCGGAAGTAGATCGCCAGGCCTTTCCTCCTAGTCTTGCTAGGTACTTCCTAAGAGCCGACTATGTGCGGGGCATAGTTGATGATACTACCATCAGCCCTCCAACAACCAGGTTGCCCCATCTTATCTCGCATCCTCTCCAGGCCTCTGGCCTGTCTTCAGCACTCACCACAGACGAGACGGTTCCTCTAGGGCTCGGTGGGAGGCTGGGCCTCCGGGGCGGCCGGCGGGGCAAGGTGCGCGGCGCGCGCAGGCCTCCGGGGCGGGGCGGCGGAGGCCACACCCTGAAACTACCTGCGCGGCCCGGCCTGGGAAAGTGAGAGACGCCGACGGTGGGCCTGCCACCGGAACTCGCCGACCGCCACCCCGCGCCCCTCTAGACCGCCCCGGCCATGGCAGGCCGCCGCTGAGCCCCGAGCCCCGGATCGGTCGCCGTGCGCGCTCGCCCGGCCGCCCGAGACCATGAAAAGCAACCGAGCCCGGAAGGGCGGCGGGGGCGCGAAGGACTGGGGCGCGGACCTCAAGTACAGCTCTCAGCACCAGGTGGGCGCGGGCGCGGGCGCGGGCGCGCGGCCTGCCCGGGGACCCCTCCACGTCCGCCTGGCCTGGCGGCCCGGGTTGCAGGGGACGTCGGGCGGCGAGCGCGGCGTCGGGGCCCCGCACGCCGACCCAAAGGGGTCTGGAGCGGAGAGAGCCTGCGCTTTTGTCTCGACGAGCGGACCAGAGGCGGATTAGCCAGTAAGCAAGGTACGCAGGGGTTTACGCGTGTTTACTTCCTGTTTATTGCACAGTTTCACAAGGGTTTCACCACATCTTTGATCTTTGATGTGAAAAACAGGTGGAATTGTGCACTACAGTTTAGTAAGCACAGGTAAGCCGTAGTACCTTGCTTACTGGGTAATGCGTCTCTGAAGGGGACCCACTCCACCGCCACTTGCTCGCCGGGCCCTGACCGCACAGGTGGAATTTCCTGCTAGGCGGGTGCCTGGCGGTGGCCGGCGAGCGGGGGGCGGAGGCTGCAGGGTAGGGCAGACCTTTGGTACCTGACCCGGCGCGCAGCCATGATGGAGCCTCGAAGGGCGGGAACCCCCAGGTCCTGGAGAGGCCCAGTCGCTCCTCCGGCCGCCCTGCCCCTCCCGGGTCTCTGTCTCGGGCCCTCCATAACTCAGGGCGCAGAGCGTTGATTGGGGTGACTTGGCCGGGAGGAGGGAGGTTTCTGGGGGACTTTGCTTTTTTCTTCTTGGTCAGAGGGCATTTGGGGACCTTTGGGAGTTTGGGCTGCCATAGAAAGCTGAACGGAGGACTCCAGGGTTGGAGTTGGGGTGGGGCTTCTCCAAGAGGGGATGGAGCTCCTCGGAAGGTGACTTTATGGGAAGTGATGCGGGACACTGTCGTTAGCCTTTTGGAACATACTGCAGCGGGAAGCTCTTTGGCAGAGAAGAACGAGAGACCTCTCGAAAGATCTAAAAAGCATTAGATCTTAAATTAGGGAGTCGGGGATGCGTTGTTGGTTACGTTACTGAAGGAACAACCTAGGGACAGTGCTCAGGCAGAACTAGACCCCAGAACTCCAACCTCTCTGTCCAGGGGACCCTAGACTTCCTGGGAGGTCAGCGCGCGCCAGAGCCGGGAGTGAAGCTCTGCGTGTTGACTCCTCTGCGGATGGTGCCCGTCTCCCGGGCTCACTCCTTTTCTCCTGTGTGTGCCTGCGTCCCGCAACCTCCTCTCCCCCCGCGCCGTTTGTTGCTTTGTGTTAGGCGAGTCTGCAGATTCTTCAAATCGATTCCTTTGCTCCAAGCAGCTTCCTGCCTTAGGGAGCTTGTAAGGACCGGACACGGGCTGCGCGGCTACCCCAACCGCAAATAGCAGCTGGGTCCTGAGCTCTTGTTTTCTTTACTTTCCCCCAACGGGGACAGAGGCGTGGGCTCAGCAGCCAGGCTGTGCTGGTGTGCCTGGCTGACTTCTGCCCTGCCCTGAGATTCACGCGGACACCGACTGTTTTCCTTTCGGTAACTGGGTGTTTACGATGCCTTGGTAGTTGCCTCCTTAGGGCTCAACGCTCCTGCCCCCGCAGCAGAGGGCTGCTGGTTTGTGTTTGTTCTTATTCCAAGGCTGTTTTTTCTTCCCTCCCTCCAAGTCCTTCGTTCTTCCTGACTTGCCTTTTGAAACTGTCTCCTGCTGACGTTGGAAAAGCTGGGTCTTCCTGGAGTCTCAGATGTTTCTCAAGTTAGTGCCACTTTGAAGAATCAGCCCACTTCCCTTCTCTCCCAGGCTTCATGACCCAACTGGTTGCCAGGCTTGAGGCTGGGACATCTCAGCACCCGTCTGAGCCACCCACGGCCAGCAGCTTCTTTCTCGTTGATGCTGCCCTTGCTTTCTTAATCCCTTGGTCTCTGCTCATTTTCCCCTCTTCTGTGAAGCTCATCTGTTCTCTGCTCCACCGGACTGTCGCTTCCACTTCCAACTCTGCAGTTTCCTTCACTTGGATCATGCTGTGTTTTCTCTGTCCCAGCTCCATTACACCAACTCTGTTCCTAGTCTTGTGCAGGAATTAGACATGAGGCAGCGTGTGCCTGAGGAAATAGCCTTCTATGCCCAAGCTCATTGCCACGTCTCCTGGAAATCTTCACGTGTTACTCCGCACCACTGGGTCTCTCTACAGTATGTTTGCAGTCAGGGGCTGCGGACTCCATGCCTTACTCATCCCCTGCCCAGGAGATGAGGACATCTCCTGGTTTGACCATCGCGTGTATCTGCAGAGCCTTCTCCGGTCATGCGGAGCCTCGTGGAGGCACTGTTGCTTTTGGGTTCCTTGTTCCCAGCTGCTCTTGGGGCTCCTCTCCATCTCTGTATGGATGGAGAAATGTTCTGTTTGGGGGTAGTGCTATCTGGCTGCCTCTGGAAACCTGCATCCTCCCACAGGGCTTCGTCAGCACTTCCTTGCACCTTCATCCCAGAAAGACCTGTCCTGCCTGCGATTCACTGCCTTCATTTGTTGTTGTTAGTTGCCGTCAGTTCCGACTCCTGGCGACCCCACGTGTGCAGAGGAGAACTGCTCTATAGGGTTTTCAAGCCTGTGACCTTTTGGAAGCAGATCTCCAGGCCTGTCTTCCAGGGCTTCTCTGAGTGGGTTCGAACTGCCAACCTTTTAGCTGGTAGTCGAGTGCTTAACTGTTTGTGCCACCCAGGGACTCTGCCTTCGTTTAGGAGATGGGGAAACTGAGGCTCCTAGCTTGATAGCTGCTTCTCTGGGTGAGAAGCCCAAGTCACTGTGGATCTGCTCAGAGCCTGGGCTTGAGGTGGATGTGCCACAGGGCGCGGCAGGAGAACCAGCCGTGCCCCCTACCCTCAGGCCTCTCAGTCTGCTCCCCAACGCGCATGACTGCCCCTGTGGCCAGTGGCTTCTTCCTGCTGTGGTCCTAGACTTCCCCTGGTGTCTGTTCTGTCTCTGCTCTGTGGTCTGCCCAGACTGCTGGCTCACGTCTCTCCGAAGAGAGGAGGTCTGCTCTCGGAAGAGATGGGAAGCTGGAACAGAGCCCCCAAGGAGCCCAGGTCCCAGAGAGGTTGCTTCTGACAGTGTGAACGTGGCTATTGGAGTATGTACCTCGAGTAATGCTAATCATTGCTCCTGTTAATAGAGCATGTACTGTGTGCTGGACACTTCCACAGTGGTTTATGTGTGTTATGCCTCCGAGAGGTAAGTACTACTGTTATTATTATCATAGGTGAGGAAGTGGGGCACAGAGAGGCTAAGGAAATTGCCCAGAGGTCATGGAGCTAGAAAATGGTGGGATCCAGTTTGCACCCAGGTAGCGGGGCTTTAAGGAGTCCTGGTGGCACAGTGGTTAAGTGCTCAGTCGCTAACTGAAAGGTTGGTGGTTCGAACCCACCAGCCTCTCCGTGGGAGAAAGATGTGGCAGTCTGCTTCTGTAAAGATTACAGCCTTGGAAACCTTATGGCGCAGTTCTACGCTGTCCTGTAGGGTTGCTCTGAGTTGGAATCTACTCGATGGCCATGGGCGAGTTTGGCTGTACGGCATCCTCTTTGGACTGTTGTAGTGCTCATCAGGGCTGTCAGCCCAGTGGGCTCAGGAAGGGAGGAATTGGGTGATTTGTACCAGAAACTGGATTTCTCCTTGTGGGATGTTTCTGAGATGACTGGGGCAAAGTGAAATTATAAGAGCTGCTTGGTAGTAATTAGAGTGGGAGCTGCTGGGCTCCTCAGGGCCCTCTTCCTGGCTGGTGGCGGTGTGGAGGGCGCTTGGTGCGTGCTCAGTGCTCATGGGCAGTAATTGCCATTTATCCTTTGCTAAGAACTTTTCCAGAAGCAAGTCCCTACTAAAAATTCTGTCTCCGTGTCTCACATTTTCAGAATTTGCCTGTGCTATCTTGCCTTAGCAACATCTTAAGAGTTTTTCCCAGATTTCTTGTGATGGTTGGCTAACTCTGGTCAAAATCTTGGATCCTATGTGTGTTCTTGGCCCACATTGATGATGCTGATCATGATAATGATGATGATGATGGTGGAAAGTTGCAGAATATGATGATGACCGTTTTATCCACATGGAAACTGTATGAAAAAATGCCTAGTTTACAGATGAGAATACTGAGGCTCAAAGAGTTTAGTAATGACCCAGAGGCAGTAAGAAGTAGAGAAAGAATTCAAACCTAGACCTGTCCACCTTCAAAGCCCAAGATCCTAACTGCAATGCCACAATAAAACTGTGTTCCAGAGACAGTGTTGATTGATGTGTGTCCCCAGCGAAATCCTAGAACACATCATTAACAGAGAATTGAGAGCACTTAAAAAGGGAAGTGGCAATGACAAGGCACCAGCACAAATTTGCTAAAAACGTCTCACGCCAAACTAGTCTGGTTTTCCCTTTTGATGAGATTACTTAGATCAGAAGCACAGCTGGAGACGAGATTTCCACGAGGCTTTAAGCAAAATGTAGCTATATGTATTATTAAAAAAAAAAAACAAAAAACACCTCATTGCTGTTGAGTCGATTTCGACTCATAGCCACCCTATAGGACAAAGTAGAACTGCCCATAGGGTTTCCAAGGAGCGGCTGGTGGATTCAAACTGCTGACCTTAATCACTACTCCACTAGGGCTCCATATGTATTATACACATGATTAAAAATAACAGTGGAAATTTTAAAATGAAAAAAAATTCACCCACAATTGGATCAAGCCAACAAATCAGGTTGTTGAGTTTTTCATGCCTCTATCCATGCCTTCCTGTACGTGTACTTGTTATCTAGTTTGAGATTGTAGTGCATATACAGTCTGTGTCTGGGGAAGGCATGGCTATCGGCTCCGGTCTGCCGGGCAGATGGAGGGTTGGGGCTGGCCGGTGGACAGCTCTGGTAGGTTTGTGTCTGGCTGAAGGACCGTCCCTTAGAGGGTCCACTCACAGATCCAAGCTATCTTGGATGGTGACCTCCAGGGCTACCCCTCACTCCTGAGTTCTGCACCGTTTCCTTTACAGTAACAACTTGGATGAGGACTTGGAGCATGTGTTTATCAGCTTCATAGATG